CACCCACACACACACACACACACACACACACACTTGTATTATTTATTATTTTTGAGACAGCATCTCACTGAGTAGCCTAGGCTGGCCTGGACCAATTGTTCCTCCTCCAGGACTGGAATCAGAGGCATGTGCCACCACATGGCACTTCACAGATCCCTTAGTACTGATAAACACTTGCCAGGAACCATTGCCAATCATAGCGTGCACATCCTTTATTTCAGGCTTCCTGTCATTGTTCTCGTCAGGCTGTATTTGTGGAGGAAATTTTTTCCTCTCTATTTTTGAGATCTTTCAAGAGGAAGCTCAGTACTAAATTGTTTCCAACGAAGTTTGTTTCTGCATTTCCTCAAATTCCAGTGATTACTTATGTAACACTGTCCTGATTTCTGTCTTTGTCCCCCACACTCTGGTTCTCTTACCCTTTACCTGATCATCTTCTTGACTCCTAGGAGCTCATTCGGCTGCTCCAGCAGACAGTCCGGTCTTCTCAATATGACAAGTATTTTACGAGCCACCAAATCAGCCAGGGGGTCCCCAGGGACACACTGGAGCTTCTCCACCAGAAGGACGAGCAGATCCTGGGCCTGAGTGGCCAGCTGGAGAGGTTCGGCCTGGAGAAGGAGAGTCTGCAGCAGGAAGTGAGGACGCTGAAGAGCAAGGTGGGCGAGCTCAACGAGCGGCTGGGGATGCTGATGGAGACCATCCAGGCCAAGGACGAGGTCATCATCAAGCTCAGCGAGTGTGAGGGCAGCGTGTCTTCGCCCACCTTGGGGCCAAGCTCTCCTTTGGCCACACCAGCCAGCAGAGACCAGCTGGAGCTGGACAGGCTAAAAGTAAGGACAGGGTGTGGGCTGGCTTTTTGGACAGAGATATCAAACTCCTTTAGCTCCGTCAGTTTTGATCCCTAGAGGTGCTATTGTCAGCAAGCTGTTTTGGTAAAGCAGTGGAGCTGGGGGCGGGGCACAGAAACAGGCTCTATAGTCAGTTTAAGGAACTAGACATCTTAAGGAACTTGCTTGGAAGCACTTCCAACGCTGTTGCCACTGCTGCTATTGCCTCCCTGGGACACTTTTGACCCTTCCTGTCCCTTGCTTAGGAATATTTGAAACACCCTACCCTTTTATTCATCTCCTGTCAAGACTTCATTGTGCCATGGAACATATGGAGGTTGTCAGTTTCCCTTTTGTGTACATGAATGCAAACACAGACTTAATTTGCACAGCCTCCCATGGGCCTGGGTAGGAATATTGTCCCAGTCGTCAGAGTAGGGCCAGCTGGGAAAGTGGATGCAGCTCGAGGCAGTCCAGAAAAAAAGCCTGCTTGGTCAGTCAGGTCAGTGCCTAACATGAGAAGTCCTGCACTTAGAAGGAAGGACAGAGCTGTCTTCCCAGTGTCCCCCACCCTGCCCCCAGATGGTCCAGGGATGGGAGGCTGGCTCCTAAACAGAAGGGAACTGGGATGAGAAGCAGCAGATGAGGGATAGGGAGCACTCCCCTGTGGGAAGCAGGGGCAACCTGCCTCTTATGCCTGTAGAGAACCCTGCAGGTCCAGAACAGAGAGCTGAACTGTTTGGGCTGCTGAGGAAGGCTGTAGAAAAGACCAGCACATCTTTGCTGTCAGCAGCTCCTGAGACTCTACTGAGGACGTTCTAGGTAGACAAACATCCCCCAAGACATGAGACATTAGTTAGAGCCCAACTGACTCCAGCAGACCCCAAGTAAGTCTGTAACTACTCAGCCATTGTCTTCTTGCAAATAATGTGGTTCTCAGTGTTCGAGTTCCAAAATGGAGTTTCTCCTTGAAGGGCGCAGGTGTGTTACTGTTGAGGTGGTTACAGTGTGTGAGTGTCATGGCTTCCAGCACCTTTAATTTGCCAGCCGTGAGCTGAGCGAGTGCTGGGCAGGCGGGGAACTTCAGAGTTAGGAACACTGAAATAGTGGCAGCAGTGTTGGACCGTGTGGGTGGTTGGTTTAGTGACAACACCCTTTGGACACGCAGGGCCAGCCTGGTGTATCTGTTTGGCGTGTGTGGTATGTTGTGGGTGCACATGCACAGGCGAGCTCATGCATGTGGAGCTGGGGAGTGATGCTCCTCCTCCATACGTCTCTACCTTATTTTTTGAGACGAAGGCTGAACCCAGATCTTGCCAGTTGGCCTGGAAGCCGCAGAGATCCTCCTGTCTCCACACTCACTGCACTGAGTTGTGAAAGCACCATCCCTCACACAGGCTTTTATTACGTGGTGATGGAAATCCAAATCAAAATGCAGATGCTCATACTCGTGCAGCAGGCACTTTACTGCCCACGCCACAGCTCCCAGGAGGAACCAGAGCACCTCTTATTCTATTTATATCTACTCTACAACAGCCCTTATTATTTTGTCTATTTATATTTTTGAGACAAGGTTTCATTCTGTAACTCAGGCTGTCCCAGAACTCACTGTAGCCCAGGTTTGCCTCACACTCAAGGTACTTCTTTTGTGTCCATGTCCAGGGTGCTGGAATTGCCAGGTATGAGCTACCATGCTTGGCCGTTTTCCATTTGTTTCTGTTTTATTTTTCCTTTTACAAGCGGCCTTAGTGTTGCCTGTAGAAGTCAATTTTGTTTATATGCTCAACCTTAAAGGTTCTGTTCCTTCCTATGCATCCCTATGCACAGTAGTGACACACTTAGTGTCTGCACTTTTAACATGAATTTTCCAGATGTTTTTGTTCTTGGAAGGAGAGAAGTATGTGGCACTCATTTGCCCAAGGAGCTGAGTCAGAGTGTGAGAATGGGCCATGTAGCTGCTATGACCACTGAACCTTTGGAGACTGGTAACCTAGCTCATCCAAAGTGAGCCATCCTCATGTGTCGTTGTGCAGCTGGGGTGACTGAATGAGTCATGAGGATCTTTTCCTCAACATTTCTCAACAACTTTAAAGCTGTGGCTACAGAGTCTACTCAGTGAATCTTAGTGGGGAAACTCCGTAAGTGACCAGTGGTTGTCAGGCACTTCCTAGCAGGCAGGGGCAGCCTGCCCAGGTCAGGACCTCATGTTGCTGGGGTTGCTCTGCCTGTGCCTGTTACTGCAGTAAGAGCCGGTCCTTTCTCCCGTGCATCGAGCTCAGCCAGCCTTCCACAGTGAGCTCTGACTGTGGCAGTGACTTCAGGTCTCTGCCTCGTCTGTCAAAAAGTGCTACCCGTGGGGTATTAGGAGGGCTGAAGGAAGTGGTCCACATCTGGACCTGGTTCCTAGTGGAGTATTTACTGCCAGATGTTACTGTTACTTCAACATTCTCAAGAAAGTATACTGATGATAAATGGTCAGAATTTACTGATTAGATTGGAGCACAAATTTTATGATAAAGACAAAAAACTACACAGCCAGTGGGGACCAAGTACCTGTCACTTAGTCTTTCTCCTCACAGTTCAGTATCTTTAGTTTCTTTCATGCCAAACTTCCTTTAACTGACCTGCCTTTTAATGATGTGTTGTTCACTGTTTTCAAATACAGTATTTTTAAGATGCTAGGAGAGAGGAAATGCCATCATTTGGGCCAGAAAAGGACACATTAACCTTCTTGGGGCCTGACATTTTCACTTAAGCACTTGGGTTGCCAAGGCTAAGCCAGTACTGTGCAAGGGTTGGGTTGCAGCTGAGGAGGCTCAGGTACCCAGCCTGGCCCTCAGAGCTCGGAAGCTGACTTCCCAGCACAGCAGTCAGCAAATGCATAGCCTCCCTGGCCCGGTCTGCCAGGGAAATAATGTCAAGAATGGCTCCTGGGACTGGAGAGGTCTAAGTGAGATCAAGAAGCTCACGTGTCTTGCCCAGGGTTCTGTGACCCATAACGTGTTCCATGAGTGCCAGCAAATTGGGGCAACAGGGAAACCTTTCCAGTTCTTCTGCATCTTCTAAGAACAGTGTATACCCTAAGGGAAGTTCGGTCTGGAGACTGGGGAGTGTCTGAAGAAATATTTAGAAATAGTTGGGGCGGGGGAGGGATGTGGTTGCAAAAGATGGAATTTATAAGTAGTCTTTAGAAACCACAGTCTTAAAGATGCTTCTAATTCATCTTCATTTAGAAACTTCCTTGTTTTATCATGAGGATGGTCTAAAGGAGCATTTTACATGAAAATTCTTCCCTACCCAGCCACAGCTGTACTTCAAGTAGAACAGGACAGAGGCAGAAGCAGGCCGGATCTCTGATTTTGAAGCCAGAGTAGTCTACATAGTGACTTCCAGGATACCTAAGGACACATAATAGAGAGACCCTGCTTTACAAAAAAAAAAAAAAAACTGTCTCCAACTTGTTGTGTTCTCTCAAATACAAAGTAAATGTCGCAGAGATACAGTTAGATACAGTTGGCCAAACTACAGAAGGGGCTCATTTTGTCCTTGGTGATTTGTGGAGTTAGTGCTGGGAATTGGACCCAGGGCCTTGAGCCTTAAAGGCAAGCGCTTTACCACCAGGCTCCACCCTCTGTCCTATTGTGCTTTTCCTTCAGCTTTTCCATGGTTTGAAATTTTGCAGTGTACAAAAGTGAGGGGTGTATTCTACAAAGTCCCTGATGCAATACTAGATTGTAGTATTTCTCTTTACATGCCGTTTCTAATTAAGGGCTTTTGTACATTTTTATAGCCTTTTTAAAATAGAAGCTACAAAGAATATGTTCAGTTTCTGTGGTTTAAAGGAATGTTAAATTATTGCTTTTTTTTTTCATCACCACCTCAATGGGTATGGATGGATTTAGAAAATACACCCTGTTTATTTCTTCTGCCATCAGTTCAGAGAAATCTCCACTGCTAAATAAATGTCTTGTCCACTTCTTCGTTAAATAGCCATTCCCACCACCTCCTGCCCCCACAAATGGCCAAAAAGATTCTTCAGAACTCTCCTTCCAACATCTTCCAATTCTTTTTTAGAACTTGCTCTCACTTAGCAGGACTCCAATATGCTAATTATGTAGGATAATTAGCCAGCATACAACCCACAGGAATTGATAAAGATTTTCCCTCAACAGGATAGTCTACAAGGGTACAAAACCCAAAATAAATTTCTAAATAAGGAAATTTTGGAACTCTCTGCTCTACGAAGAAATGCAGAAAGGAGAGAGAGGGATCTGATGGCAAAGGTAAGTCAGGATGGGTACATTTTACCACTTGGTGGGAGGGAGGAAACTGTATTTAAGTGGATGTGCTTTCCCAACCACCATGCTGGGAAAAATGCGGCTACTGGTATCGAAACGTGTGTTAGGTGTGTCCAGTACATTTTGTCTGTGGGTGACAAAGAAACACTGTCACATATGGCCTTCTCCATCCGTTTGTGAGGAGTTTCAAATGAAGTCATTACAGGGTTCTCCCAGATTAAAGTTATCAATGTTTTCATTCATGCTGTTGAGATTTAGTTCCACATCTGAAACAGGAATGGTGAGAATGTTACCATCTCCACAAATCCAGCAGGGTTGGTTTAAGAGTCAGCCATGATTCTGGCTGCAGGAGGCCTTGGAAAGTATGAGAGACCACAAGCGTTCCAGCTGTGTGCTAGTGAGTTATAAACACCTGACACTTGTCCACAGCTGTTGTGTATATATGCTATTTCTGAGCAGCCTTCTGAGCACACTTCTAAAGCATATTCCTGCATATTTGCCAGGGGGAAGTTGATTTTTCTGATCAGGTAGCAGATGGGAACTAGTCCTTCCTGGACGTGATGTCCTAACAGAGTTGGTATGCCTGGGGGAGGGGAGGGATTCATGGCCCATGTAACCAAGTAGGATTAGGCTTGAGCTCAGGAACTGGCTCATGACGAGTTTTGTTGCTCACTCTAACCATGTTGAAGAGTGTTACCTGTGCTTATCAGCGTCCTTTCTGTGCCGAACTCTTAGAAAAAAGAGGGGAGCTATAGCAGGCCATTTTAACCCTGAAAGGGTCTGCAGCATGAATTAACCTTTCCCCTTTGTTGTAGTTTGCAGCAGGCTCACTTCCTAATCTTTTTGGGCATGCTGGTGTGAACTCACTGGTTGCTTAAGGCACCTACAGCTTGCTTTCCCTGTGTTTATCTCTGTGTGAAGGTAACGCCTTACCACTTTATATTCCCTGCAGTATTCTAGTCTGGAAGCCAAGCTCTGCCAGGTAGAAAGTAAGTACTTGATACTGCTTCAAGAAATGAAGACACCAGTTTGCTCAGAAGAACAGGGGCCTACCAGGGATGTCATAGCCCAGTTGCTGGAGGATGCTCTGCAGGTTGAGAGCCAAGAGCAGCCGGAGCAGGCATTCATTAAGCCTCATCTGGTCAGGTAAATGCATTTGACTCTGTTGGGACAGTCCACCCATTTATAAAGTTCCCTTTCCACAGCAGTAGACACTTCAGGGGCCAATTAACACTGTGTGTCTTATTTGATGTCTGTGACAAGTACTGTAAGGCCAACCAAACATATATCATCTTTCTACCTCAGAAATCAAGTAATAGAGCTGGAATCAATCCAGGCCTGTTGATTCCAAAACCTTGTCAAAGTGGCCACGCCTACAATACATACCTCCTTCTGCAGGGGCCAGTTTTCCAGAGAATAGGAACTCTTTCCTGACACACGTGCATCGTGTCCACAAGGGGAAGTAAAAGCAAAGGGGCCCATGAAGGGAAGCTGTGTTTTTCTTGTATGGGAAGGCAGTTTCTATAACCTGGTTGAGTGGCCCAAGACACACAGAGGATCTGAAACAAACCATGGACCCATCCCCAAGATGCACTAAGACACATACATGTAAAATACTGCATCTTTTTTTTCCCCCCCAGAGGGTAGGGGGGTTATAGAACCTAGAAGCATATGAAGGATCTTGGATTAAAAGTTTATATACAATATGTTTTCTGACAAATCTCAAGGGTGTTGGTGTAGATGGAAGTTTCTGTCCTGCCCCGTCCTGCAGCCATTCAGTCCCAAATAAGCACACAGAGACTTATATTAATTATAAACTGTTTGGCCTATTGTTCAGGCTTATTACAGTCTAGCTCTTACAGCTTAACCCATAATCCTTATCTATGTTTAGCCACATGGCTTGGTACTTTTTCTCAGTAAGACAATCTCATCTTGCTTCCTGTGCATCTGGCTAGTGACTCGTCTCTGCCTTTCCTCTTCCCAGAATTCTCGTAGCCCCACCTATATTGCCTGCCTGGCTGCTGGCCGGCCAGTGTTTTATTAAACCAATACAAGTGACAAATCTTTACAGTGAACAAGAGCATTATCCCACATCATGTTGGGACTAGGAAAACTCTGCAGGTTGGCCTGGTGTACCCTCCCTTTTGTTCACTCAGACACAGCACTGCCTCTGGGCATTGCTCGGTACAGTCTCCTCACTGCCTTCCCTCCAGCCCCAGGCAAAGCCCTTTGACATGCTGGGCCCTTCCCCAAGCTGACAGAACCTACCAGCATTGGCTGTGCTATTCAAAATAACGGAAATACTTTCAGAATATAATGAACACCATTATCACAGGACACTTTTAGAGCTGTGCTGGGTACAGAAACGGCTAAGTGGTTCATGTGTAGTATTATATTAAATGCTCAATGCAGGTCGGTTTGCCCTCACTTTGTAAGTGAGGTGGCTGAGTTAGGAAGTGGATTAGCATATCCTGGGTTATATACCCTATGGGACATGGATAAGGCCCCAGCCCAGGCAGCCAGTATTTCAAGTACAAGGGTGCTTCCTCCATATCATTCGTGGTTTCTTTGTTCATAGTTGTTGGGAGCTGTTCTGAAGGTGTGTGCATTCTTCCCCTGTGCATTTAGGAAGTTCTGTGCATTCTTTCCTGCTTTACAGAACTTCGTTACATAAGTAGACCACAGAGGCATTATTGCTTCCACTCATGAAGGGCACTTAGGACTTTTCTAGTTTTCTTATTGACAGACACCATGGTATATGTTCTGTGTGTCCAGGCAAGAGTTTCTCCAGGATGTAGAAGAGAAACGAGATTCCTAGTATGGAAGAAATGCATGTCTCCAGCTCCACTAAATTTGATTTTCAAAGTTCCTAAGAGTTATGCAAAGTTATGTGTCAAAAGCTTTGTACTAGATTCTGATTCTGCCACAACTACTCACAGACTCAGCAGCAACTTTGCTGTCATAGAGTTCATAGGTCAGAAGGCAACATAAGGTCTTACTGGATTGAAATCACACTTTAATCAAGGACTAGGCTCCTTCCTGGATCTTCTGGGGAGTAGTTTGTTTCCGTCATCAAAAGTGCTGGTAGATACAGTTGTGGTCTCTAGCCTCTAGAGACCACCTGCATTCCATGGCTCATAGCCCCTTCCATCTTTAAAGTGTCAATAGCTGATCCAGTCTCTGCACACACACCCATCTCTCCTGCCTCTTCTCTTGTCGTTTTCCTCAGATCTGTTCTTCAGCTTTCCCTTTACCTCTTTGAAGGGTTCATGTAGCTATCGGGTCCCTTGGTAACCCAGACAATCTCTACCTTAATTCTGTAACCTTAATACCATTTGCCACTATCTTTTCCTTGTATATAGTCACAGATTTCAGGAGTAGGATGCTAACAACCTGGGACCGTATCCAGTCCACCAAAGCCTTGGTTGATGTTCGCACCCAAGACCTTACAAATACCCTCTTCCTTGTCTTTTCACCTCTTAAAATGATGCCTTGTGGACAGGTCTGGTCGCACAAACCTATGATTCCAGCTACTTGGAAGACTAAGCCAGAAGGATCATTTCAAGGCTAGACTGGTAAACATAGCAAGATACTTTTTTATTAGTATTATTAAACAATACCTTTTGAAACATGAAATTGTTCCAGATGTGTAAAGATACAGACATGTATATTGACATAGATGGGTCTCTTTTTTTCATTTTCTTTCTTTTTCTGAGACAGTGTCTTTATAGCTACATGAAGACTTGCCTTGAGCTTAACACTCCTCCTGAACACTGAGGTCAGTGGTGTGCACCACCCTGCCTGCTTAGGTCAGCCTTGCTTGGTGTTAGTGCCTGTATTTCCTTCTGGTTTAATCTGCGGAGTTTTAACCCATCTGAAAGTGATTTTCCCCTGTATGCTATGGAGAGTCGATCTCATTTGACCTTTGCCATGTAGACAGCCAGTTGTCCTAGCCCTGCTCATCAAGAAACTTGCATGCTTGATGGTCTGAAATGTGTCCTGTTTGACTGCACCCTTTGCCACCCAAGCCCATGCCATTTCTACCGTCCCTCTTGTTATTTATCCACAGTGAGTTTGACATCTACGGGTTTAGGACTGTCCCTGATGACGATGAGGAAGAGAAATTGGTGGCCAAAGTCCGAGCATTGGACCTGAAGACTCTGTACCTCACAGAAAACCAAGAAGTTTCCACTGGGGTCAAGTGGGAAAACTATTTTGCAAGCACAATGAACAGGGAGATGGTATGCTCTCCGGAGCTCAAGAACCTGATCCGAGCAGGCATTCCGCACGAGCACCGCTCCAAAGTGTGGAAGTGGTGTGTCGACCGTCACACCAGGAAGTTCAAGGACAGCATGGAGCCTGGCTACTTCCAGAGCTTGCTCCAGAAGGCACTGGAGAAACAGAATCCTGCCTCTAAGCAGATTGAGCTGGACCTGTTGCGGACTCTGCCCAACAACAAACATTACTCCAGCCCCACATCAGAAGGCATCCAGAAGCTGCGCAATGTCCTGCTAGCCTTCTCCTGGCGAAATCCAGATATTGGCTACTGCCAAGGCCTCAACAGGTGGGTGTCAGACTACTCCCATCTGTGGTTTAGAAAACCTGCAGGCACCAGGCACTACCTGGCAGTTCCCTCTCCTCCTGGCTAAGAAAAGCCTGTGTTCCAAGGGAGAAGACCCTGGGCTAACAGCAGGTTTACATGACACAGGGCCTCCTCTTCTGCAGCAGGCTTTCTTGTCTGGCTATCTTTGAATTGCCAGCTCAAAAGTAACGCCCCGGAGCCTTAGTATTAATTATGAAAGTTTGGCCTATAGCTTAGGCTTGTCCCCAGCTAGCTCTTATAACTCAACTTGTTTCTGTTAATGTACATTCTACCATGTGGCTCAGTTACCTCTGCTCTGTTCCATATGTCTGACTTCTTCAGAGTCTCACTGGCATCTCTCTGGCATAATCCAAGTGCCTAAATTCTTCTTCCTCTTCCTTTCTCTCCCCAGAAATCCCACCTATACCTCCTGCCTAGCTATTGGCCATTCAGCTTTTTATGACGCCAGTCACGGCAATACATCTTCACACAGTGTACAAGTAGCCACAACACAGTTCTAGAGTAACTCAGGCAGATTCTGCTTCAGAAAGTCTGAAGAGTCCAAAGCTGGCTGGGATGTACCTCAGTGGTAGTGTGTGTTCTTGGCACAAGTGAGACCCTGGTCCAGTGCCAGCCCCAGGACTGGTAAGCACAGAAGTCGGGGTTGCTTGCAGCATCTTAGAGTCACACTTTTTTCCTTCTTTGCTTATTTAGCATGAAAAGAAAGTAGTGTCATTATTAGAATGATGTGACATGAAAATATTGTGGTTTTTCAAAGGTGATAAAATTATTTTATAGCTTTCAATTCTTTTACATATAGAGTTTTGTTTTCTGTGATACTCTACTAAATAACGGACTATATTTACCATGCTGATCCTATAAGTTAGATCATCTCGCAGCATCCTAATAAGTTTAGCTTGGTATCTATACACTTTAAACTTTGCAGAACAATATGAACTTGAATTTAAATTCCTTAGGTTAGATTTTTTTTTCCTAATAAAAGTGGATTGGAATCTCTGCAAAGCTTTCAGAATGCTGAAGAATGCTCCAAAGTTGGGGCATGTTAGATTTTTTTTTTCTTACCGATTTTACTCGCGCACGCGGTGCATCCTGACCACTTTCATCCTGTGCTGTCCCAACCCCCACCACCCCTGTTTACTCCCCTCCTCCCCACAAGCCTCTCTTACATCCATGTCTGTCTGTTTTGCTTTGTAGCCACTAAGTAGAATGTATTATAGTATTTTCCATGCTCCCATAAGCAGAGAACACGGAGGGCCTCTCGCCCTTTACCAATGATCCAGGCTGTCATCTGAGCTGTGTGTTGGGCCAGGACAACACTTTGGGGGTACCAAGGTCTGCTGCCCACCAAACTCCTCCCAGCACCAGGACTGGGCTGGGCCAGCTTTTCACACTTGTCTCATCTTCCCCTGCTTCGTCTCTCTCTGCTTTCTGCTGTCACTGCAGTCCATATTCATATTCCTGTCCAAGCTTGTCAAAAAGAGAAAATAAACCGAGCATGGTGACACACTCCTCTAATGCCAGCACTTGGGAGGCAGAAGTAAGTAGATCTCTATGAGTTTGAGACTAGCCTGGTCTATATAGTAAGTTCTAGGCCAGTAACAGCTACACAGTGAGACCCTGCCTCAAAAAGGAAGGAAAAAAGAGATAAAATACAAATGAAGATGTTTGTGTACGCCTGGTTTCGAGTGCTGGCATTTAGGCTGGCCGCTCAGAGGCTTTTTCACTGCTGACCTCCAGGTGAGCTGTCTGTGTCTGCATGTGAGTATTACAGAGGGGAGGTGGAAAGCTGGGCTACCACTTACTGAAAACCCAGATGAAACCCTCCGGCTACCAGGAAACCGTGACTTCTCTGTCAACAAAGACAGGGTCATTTTCTCTGCCCAAGGGAGGTTAAAGAGGACATTGGCTTCTCTTAGTCATTTCAAAACTAAAACCTTCCTAAAACAGTCTTGGTTTTACTTAAAGCCCTAGCTCACACTGTACTGAGTCTGAAACCCCTGAGGCCAGAGCTGCGCAGTGGAGGTTTGCTGGTGCTCTCCTGGAATCGTTCTGTGATCCTCTAAGTACTGAGAGCACTGACTCACCTTCACACCTGTCTTGTTAAAGCCTCTGGATTTTAATTGGTGGGTGGGGGTAGGTTTTTTTTTTTTTTTCCTCAGAATACTTGGCCTATGCCCCTGACTTCTGAGAATTTGAGAACACTAGCTCTTTCTGGATTTGTGCTTACCATGCTCAGCCTCGGTTAAATGATGTCCGGATGGTTCTGCTTTGGACTCTTGGATGCCTCTCCTGGTTATTTGTTTTGGGCTGTCAGGAACTTTTCTCTGTAACTGCCTTCTAGTTGTCACCTCCCCACTCTCCATCCCTTTTAGGAAAGCTGGAGTCATCCTCTTGCCACCTACCCAGCCAGGTCTTATTTTTTTATTTTGAGATTTGCTGATTTCTTTCAGTTTTATCAAAGAAAAAGAAAAGAGCAGATTCTGAGCAAGGGCATTTTTCCTGCCATGTTTGGGGCAGAAGTGATTGGATTTGAGCTCAGTGGACGAGGACTTTTCCTCAGTACTACCCATTTCTGGTGATGGAACTCAGGACCTCATAGGTCAGCTGGGCACTCTGCCTCTTAGTACAGCCGAGTCCCCCACCCTTGTTTTGTGATGTGGGGATTGCACCCAAGGCCTGAGGCATGCCAGGCAAGTGCTGTACCACTGAGCCGCATCCCCAGCACCCCCTCTTGACACACACCTTTATTTGAAATTTTGAGACAGGGTCTTGCCAACTTGGCCAGGCATGAGCCTCAGTTTGTGACTCCCCCTGCTCTAGCCTGCCCAGAAACTGGGATTAGTTGTGGTTTACCAACAGCCTCTTGATTTTGGCAGTGTACAAATGGCTGGAGCCAGGTTTCCATTATGAATGACACAGAAGTTGGTATGTGTGAGCTCCTTTCCTGCCCCATGTGTACCCCTCATGCAGCTCCAAAGGCCCCTAGTGGGTACTCTGTACTACCCCATTTCCTCCCTCCAGAGAGGCAGCTGGAGAGTGAAGGGAATCAGATTCTTACACTCGCTCATACCCTGTTACATTCACATTAGTTTTTAGACATAAAACAATTAGTTAAGCAATGAACTCAAAGAACTAATTGCATTAGCAGAATATTAGAGTGAAACAGTTTTTTGTTTGTGAGCCTAGCCTTTAGCGGCTGAGCCATCTCTACAGCCCAAGTGAAACATGTTTTACCCAAGGCTGCTGGATCACAGGGAGGCAATTTCACTGGGAAATAATTGCAACTTTGAACAAAAACCAAATGACGGGATCAGAGGAATGTGGCTTTTCTCTTCAAGTTTTAGAGGATTCGTCACTTACCCAGAAATCCTCATTTGTCCTTCATTAGAGAAGTAGAAATTGTGCTGGCTCTTAGAGAAAATGGCTTCAGCAGACATCTTGGTGAAGGCAGGAACAGGAACCGCACTGACCTTTTCCCTGCTGCCTGTAGGTTGGTGGCAGTGGCCCTCCTTTACCTGGAACAGGAAGATGCTTTCTGGTGTCTCGTCAGCATCGTGGAAGTCTTCATGCCTCGAGACTATTACACAAAGACTCTGCTGGGGTCCCAGGTACTTCCAAAATACTATGCCTTAATCACTGGCCTACAGGACTCCAGTTGTCATATGGCACAAGTCAACCCTGTGGGGGCAGCTTGTGCGCATGAATGCAACAACTCATCTCTGTGTGTGGACAGGGTCGGCTCCTTCAGCCCCCTGGGCACCTCAGAGAGACAGCCCTCCCTGGCAGTCTGTCACAGACCAAAGATGGGGAGGTGGGGGCAGGTATGTTGGTATGTTGTCAGTTCTTGCAGGATACAGGGGCCAGGTTGGAGATGTGGCTGTGACAAAGGGCTGCTGAGGAAGCAGGGGGAGCCTCCAGCCAGGGGAAAGAGCCAGAGTTGAAAGAGTCTCAGCTGCTAAAGGTACCTTAGGAGCAGCTTTCTTGGTGCTCTACCCTGCCTTACCCAAGTTTCTGGGAATAGACAATGCTGAATCTTAAAGGATTGGCAGTAACCTCCCACATGAGAGGATCTGGTACATGTTCCATTTCACACCGGGATCTTGACAGCAGGGGCCAGAGTAGGGAGGGCATGGGCCAGATAGTCTGTCTCTACCTAGTCTTGTCTTGGGCACTGCTTCTGTTTTGGGAGTCCTCTATTAGAACACAACATCCCCCTCTCATCCAGAAAGTTCCATTATATACAGTATACACAGCATTCCCAGAGCAGCTGTAAGGGGTGCTTCAGTTCTTACCACCCCTATGATGACTGGTACCTAGCTGAATTAAGCCTTACCTGCCTGCATATCCTCAAGCTAATCAGTGGTACCATCTGGGCCACAGCTCTGTCATCTTGGGATATCTATCAGCATCTAAAGAAATGTGAGCACCTGCCGAAGCGACTGTACCAGAAAAGGGAACTGGTATTTAATGAGCCTGGGCTTATACTACCAGCTACACTCTCAAAGCATACAATGTAGCAACCTATTGTCCCCCATTTGGCTCCAGAGAAAAAGTCAGACATTGAACTAGGGCCAGTTAGTTGCCTAGGGGCCAGCAAGGTGGCTCACTGGGTAAAATCACTTTCACCAGGCTTGATGATCTAAGTTTAATCTCTGGAACTCACATGGTAGAAGGAGAGAACCAGGTCCTTCATGTACATATACACACACTCCAGAGATGAATATGTTAAGGAAAAAAAAAAAAGGCGTACCTGCTCTGGGGCTGGGTGGGGGATTGCACTCAGTCCTTGTAGCCCCTGCCTAAGCTTGTGCCCTCTTTCCACATTGTGCTGGCTGTTGGTGAGAAGCTCTGGCCTTCCCATAGTTGCCAAATCCAGGTCCCGTCCCAGCCGCACTGATGTCCACAGACACCTGGAGAAGCTTGCATGGTCTCCTTGCAATCTCTTCACTTGCTAATTAACTGTGAACTGTTTCCCTGTCAACATGAGTTTGTAAACTAGGACATGGACAGCAAGGGGATGAGGCAGTGGTCTCAGTCAGATGGGATTTTAAAAATCAATGGCTAGTGCTTTGTGTGTTCACAGCACATGGAAACAGACCTCCAAGCTCAAATTCCGAGCCTTAGATGATGCCCCAGGGTTTTGAATAGAAAAAGTGAGGCACCGCTGTCCCAACCACTCTAGCTGGGATGTCATCAGGTACTTTTTACCCTGATGTCGGTGCCAGTTTCTTCTCTCAGATGTTCCTAACACATTCATTTCTCTACAGCATCTGAGTATTATGTGTAAGGCTGCTATTAAAGTGAGTGTGCCATCAGTCCCAGTGCCCCAAGCCCTCTGCCTGTTGCCACTGTGACCCAACTGCTGGCCAGGTTTCCCTTCCTTGCCATCCTTGAAATGCATGTTGTGTGCCAGGATCTCACCAGGCGTTGCAGACACCAATGAATGACATACTTATCCCATGTCCTCCAGTGCTGAGTGGAGGAGGGCTAAAACAGAGGCCTCAGCAAGCATTTCCTGGCAGCCTGCTCTGTGCCCAGCCCTCTGCCAGCCCCTGGACAGTCTCAAGGGAGGCACAGTCTGCCATCCACTCAGAAGAAGCCATGTGTACACACGGTTTTCTCCCACTTCAAAGTCCAACCGATGTCCTGTCCGTGCAGGCGTCTGCAGCTGACCCCACCCTGAGAGAGTAAATCCTGTGTCGTCACTTGATCTCCTGCTCAGATGGCCATCTCTCCTGTTACTTTCCAGCTTCTTCAACGCAACACCGGGTCCCCGTTGCCAGGGACTTGAAGTGTTGGCAAATGTGTCATTGTTTGATTGTTGAAGAATGAAGTTATGAGCAGAAAGTGTGTGATCTGACTGTCAGGGATGGCACTTCCGGGGACAGGGGAGCAGTGCTTCCTGGTGGGTGGACCCCAGCCCCAGCTTGACCTCTTAGGCAACTGTGGGTGCTGTGGCTACTGGCAGCTTTTCAGATGGTTTTCAGGATATTACATCTAACCTGAGTTTGACAGAGACAAGTAGACAAGCATGGGTGAAAGGTGAAACGGGCTCTACAGATTTTTCTGTGCACTTTTGTTTTTTTTAAAGTATTCAAGAAAACTACATTCATTTAGCAGTTATACCTTTGATTTTGGCTCTTGTTCTTGTCAGAGAGCAAATGTGCATTTTTAATCCCTGAATCCCTCTATTTTGTTGTTCTTCATGCACTCTAGGGTACATTTATAATGTGCAGAATTAGTTTACAAACAGCACTGTTTTTAACCATTTTTACTCATTTGTTTTTGGATTTTGAGAAAGGGTCTTTCTTGATAGCTGCCCTAGAACTCCAGAGCCTCCTACCCAGCTTTCCAAGTGCAAGGAGTATAGGTGTTCACCACCATGCCTGCTAGGTTTTTGTTTTTGTTTTTTTTTTTAATTATTTGTTTTATTTTATGTTCATTGGCGTTTTGCCGGCATGTATGTGTGTGTGAGGGTTTCAGATCTTGGAGTTACAGACAGTTGCTAGCTGCCATGTGGATGCTGGGAATTGAACCTGGGTCCTCTGGTAGAGCAATCAGTGTTCTTAATCACTGAGCCATCTCTCCAGCCCATGCCTACTGGTTTTTAGCTTTGCCTTTTAAAAAGTTAAATTTCAAATAGAGATTTCTCCTTGAACCTGTTTAACTGTGCTTTCTAAAATAACAGTTGCATTTTTATTGTTATAACCATAACAATATTTAAAAAAAAAACAGAACTTCCAACAAATAGTTGCCGTTTTAAAAATTTTTGTTTGTCCTTTAGAATAACATTTTTAAGGTGTTAACATTGGATTAGGCTGTAGCTCTTGTTAGTATCCCAGGAATCTCAGGAACGTTCCTACCTATTGTCCTAATTGACTGGGGTTGTCCTAGTTAGGGTTACTATTGCTGTAATGAAACACCATTACCAAAGCAACTTGAGGAGGGAGGGGTTATTTGGCTTATACTTCTACATCACAGGATCTAGGGTAGGAACCTGGCTGGAGGCAGGAGCTGATGCAGACAGAGTCCATAGAGGGGTGCTGCTTACTGGCTTGCTCTTCATGGCTTGTTCACCCTGCTTTCCTATAGAAGCCGGGGTCACCAGCCCAGGGATGATACTATTCACTATGGGCTGGGCCCTTCCCCCATCAATCACTCATTGAGAAAATGCTCTACAACAGCAGTCCTCAGCCTGTGGGTCTTGACCCCCTTGGGTCTTGATCTTTTCACAGGGGTCACCTAAGACCATCGGGAAGCATAGATATTTCCATTATGGTTCATAACAGTAGCAAAATTACAGTTACGAAGTAGCAATGAAAATAACTTTATGGTTGGGGTCACCACAACTTCATTCAAGAGGCAAAGCATTAGGAATATTGAGAATGACTACTCTACAGCCTGATCTGTGGAGGCATTTTCTCAGTCAAGGTTCCTTACGTCAGATGACTTCAGCTTGTGTCAAGTTGACACAGGGGCTTGAAGATTAGTCCATGGTGTCCTCCTAATAGGATTGTTCTCCAAAGTGGCCATTTGCCCCATCAGCTGCTCTAGAAAGCATGACCTACTCCATGGTCTCAGCATGAGCAGACCAGAGCCTTCCTCCTCTGTAGGCTGGCTTTGTGCCTTTGCAGCCCGTTCCTCTCCACCCCCTTCTTGCAATTGTACCACTCACTATAGGGGATCTCTTCTAAAAGGTGCCCCTGGGGCACCCGCTAGTTCCCATCTTCCCATTCTGTTCCTGTGCTCTGGTCTCAGGTACCACATCTCTGCCATCTCTATGCCAGGCTCAGAAATGGGATATTCTAAGCACCTTTTCTTACCTCTCACACAAAGGGGTTTCCTTTGGTGGTTACCTTCAATAGTTTTGAGGTCCATGTACCCTCCTCCATTTTCATCAGTTTGGACAGGGCCCTCAGCCATCCAGTCTAGCCTTCCTGTTGCCTCTGGAAGGATGGACCTAGAGAACAGGCCTCACTGTTGGCTGTCCTGATGAAAGCATTTCTTCCCTGCTGGTTGCAGACTCTGTGAAAAACTGGTTTTATAGATCTTTTCATGTGTCAAATAAAATTGATTAGACAGTAACCAAATGCACCTGAGTCCCACTCTATGATCTGAGCATTGTTCTGTGAAGCTGTTTCTGTTTTACACACACACGTGTGTGCAATCACATACACACACACACATACACAGATGTTTTTTTTTTGGTGTGGGTCACACAACCTCTCTCAACCCTTTCCTAGAAGCCTGATCCCTGCCCACAGTTACGCTCATCGGTTAGTCTAGCTGCCCTACTCACCCCTTGCATCCTGTCAGTCATCCTCGAACCTTACTGAGTCTTCTGCCCAGCACTGGCTAAGTTGTCTGACGTAACATGCAATGGCGATAGCCACCTGTGGCTTTTTTGTGACTTGCCTGTCTTGCAATACTTTACATGTCTCTTTTAATGCCCAGAGCAACACAGTGGGTGAGTCAGCTACCACGGTCTTCCGGAGTACAGAGCTGTTTAGAACATCTTTGTAGGTGGGTGGACCCAGCTAATAAGCTGGAGCTGAGACTCACATGAGATCCTCTGACTCTAGTGTTCCTTCTACCCACCCTGCCCTGAAAAGCATGCTCATGGTGTGGATGTGGGTATATTGTATTTCATGTTCAGCGACTCACCATTCTTCATGCACCCGTCTAAGACTGCCTGAATTCATGGGAGTATTAGCAAGCTGATGCCAACCCACCAGGTCTTCTCTATAGCCTGCTTTCACGTGATATGTTGAGTACAGGAGCTGCTTTTAGGCCACAGACTTTACTTCTTCTCATCCCATGAGGAGAGTGCCACTTAGTGTCCCTGCAGCATTTGAGGTTAGCTGCCCCTGGACCACAGAGCAGCCTGGCTCTAATATGTGTCCCATGTGTACATCTGAAAGAGCTGTGTTGTTGCAAGTGCCTGTGGGCTCCGCCCTCTGTTCTCTGTGGAGCAGCTGTTGTGGTTTGCAGACCCCGGACCTTTCTCCCCTTTGTTCCCTCTCCAGGTGGACCAGCGGGTGTTCAGAGACCTCATGAGTGAGAAGCTGCCTCGATTGCACACCCATTTTGAGCAGTACAAAGTGGACTATACCCTCATCACCTTCAACTGGTTTCTGGTGGTATTTGTGGACAGTGTTGTCAGTGACATCCTTTTCAAAATATGGGACTCTTTCCTTTATGAGGGACCAAAGGTGAGTGTACTCTTTACAGATATACATGCTTGACAGGCTGTGACAGACCATGTCAGTGGTGGTCGAGTGGCTGGTTCACTTGGAACTTGTGAAGTTACCACCGCACCAAAGTTACCTCAGTGTGACGTGCTCCTGCAGGCCTTGCAAAACAGCAGTTACTTGCTCATGCATCAGAAGCCTCAGTGTGAAGCTGGACATGGTAGCTCATAGGGAGATCCTGCCTCAGAATAACTTGCAAAATGCTCAGTAGCTTAGTGGTCCAGTACTCGCTTTGCTCATGTGAGGCCTCTGGATTCAGTCCCTAGCCTCCTCCTACCCCCACACACCACACCACACCACACCAAAATAAAATAAAATAAATAAATAAATGGCTGGTGGATTAGCACAACAACAAGCCTCACAGCCTAAATTTAATTCCTGGAACTAAGTGGTGGTAGGAGAGAACCAACGTATACAAGTTTTCCTCTGACCTCTACACACAAGCATATGCCTACATTCACACACCAATAAATAAATAATTTTAATTAAATGAAAACAAAACATAACTAGGAATATATAGTAGGAAAGCAATCTCCCGATATTCTGTTGTTTTCTCCTCAATTTTTACATTCTCTTCTGTGTTTCTTAAGCCTATCCTAGAGTGTGCTGTTTTAACTTACTGTATCTTGGAGCTAGTTCCATGCCAGCACATACAGGAGCTGTGTTGTAACATGATGGCATTCCCTTGTACAGGAGTCAGAAATGTACCTAGCAGCCCCTGACGGTGCTGCTTTGGTTGTTTGCAGTCTCCTGCCACTTCAGAACAAGCCGCATGCAGCTCTCCTGAGAGTTTCATCTTTCTGCCCATATGCATGTGCATTTTATATTTAGCCTAGAATTGCAGGATCAAAGGTTAGTTCACCAGCAGTGTTGCGGGTAGCACCAGATTGCCCCTCAAAGGGGCCTTATGAGGGCTGAGCCGTGGTGGTGTATGCCTTTAATACCAGCACTCAGAAGGCAGAGGCAGGGGGGGTTCTGTGAGTTCAAGGCCAGCCTGGTCTATAAAGCAAGTTCCTAGACAGCCAGGGCTACACAAAGGAACCCTGTCTCAAAAAAAAAAAAAAAAAAACAGCAAGTACCAAAAAAAGCCTTGTGAGTTTACACTCCCAAGGCAGTTGAGTGTGTATATATCCCATATGTAGATTCAGTGTCCAGCATAGAGTATTACCACTTTGATAGTCTTAATTTGTCATTAATTCAAAGAATTCTCAACTAGGATCATCAACACTGTCCCTGTTGGGCTATAAATGAATTTATGAAGAAAATCATGAACAATTTGACCCTGAAATACCACTTTCTAAGTATGATCCAGTATAGGCTGGCGCAGGCCATTCAAGGTTCTTAGATGTGGAAAAGTAGTTTGTTTCAAAGCTTCCTGGAGTTAATTGCCCCCAGCCTTGCCCAGAGTACCCCCAAAACAAATCCGCACAATCGACTGCTGATTTCACTGTATTGAAAAGTGGGTCAGACCCCTGTTCACCAGCCAAGGCTGTGTCTGCCTCTGGAGTTGCAGCTTCACGTTTTCAGTCAAAAAACAACAACAACAAAAAAAAAAAAGCCTGGGTTTTGATCTTATGTAGATCTGGTTCCTGGATCAGTGTTCTTTGTTGAATACAAAGGTTAGCCAAATGTGAAAGGATTCCACAAGTCTCACTTCTTAGGAACGTTTGTGATTTGGGCTGAACTGTTGGAAACCACAAGCATTTGTTTTTCTGTACCAAAGGTCTTTGTCTAGTCCTGGAGGTCTCCCTCAATTCAGGTGTCTGCCCGAGGACAGAGCCCTTGGGAGACTTGCTCCAGCCAACCCTCAGCTCCAGAGTCTAGCCTTATGCCTGGACTCATGCCTAGTCATAGTGTGTCTTCAATTACAGTTTCCCTGGCTTTCCCGTAGGTTATTTTCCGTTTTGCCCTGGCACTTTTTAAATACAAGGAAGAGGAGATCCTGAAACTGCAAGATGCCATGTCCATCTTCAAGTATCTCCGTTACTTCACTCGAACTATCCTTGATGCCAGGTGAGTTGTCAGGAATCTTCGGACTCAAGAGCTGTCCAGGGTGCCATGTGTGAGAGGGAAGTTCCTTTTCAGAGAAAGAAATGGGAAGGGCTATGGCCTTCCAGTCATTTGAGGAGACAGAGATGAATGTTCAATAAATAAATCCCAGTAACTGAAAACAGTGGCTCCACACCTAAAGCTTTTCTGTCCCTGTGATAGTGCAGAACCGGTACAGGAGGGATTGTAGATACAAAACAGCTCTGAATTTGATGGCTCCCAGCGGAAAGAAGCCTCTCTTAGACCATGGAGTGATAAAGAAACCAGGCTGGAAGAGAATGAGGCTAGGAGGAGATAGCAAGAGTTGTGCTTGACAGAGATGCCCCCAGCACAGGTGTGGGAACGAGTGTATTTAGAGGTAGTGGGAGGGGCAGTCAGCTTGTGCCAGGTCCTGGAGCTCATGACTGCAGCCTAGCCTGCCTCCTATAGACTATGCTCAGGATTTTGACCTTCATTCTAAACATAGTGGAAGGTCACTGAAGGCATGACAGGCCACTAGGAGAGTAGACAGTGATGTTAGATGGATCTGGAGAAGAAAGGTGATCTCCTCGAGAGGTGTCCTGGGCAATGAAGAAATGTGGGACGGATTGAAGAGATTCCAGATTTTGAACTTGGAAGAACTCTAGGTTTCTGGCTTGGACAGCTGGGATATTTGTGAGTCATTTACACACACACACACACACACCCCTCAAGCCACATAGTTATTTCCTGTCTAGGCTGCCATTTTTCCCTAGGCCACAGTTGGTGATTGCTCTGGCTCTGGTGGCTGGGTAGACATTGGCAGTGGAAGTGGTGGCCGAAGCCATTCCAGGCCTCTGGGAGGGGGTCTCTGTTTCACTTGACGAGTATATTTTCAAGAAAGGCTTAGGCTCAGTACTAACACTAAAAATAACCTGATTTGTGCCCAGTGGGAAGGGGTATATGTTAAGTGTTTGCTGTGAAAGATTGATGAAAGCTTTAGAATGAGGGTTTTGTTCATCTCAAATTGGTCAAGATTAAGAATGACTGAAGGAATTCCCACATGACAGTTGACACTGTGTCAAGAGCATTTTGGTCCCAGGTACAGATTCTGCCTCTTAAGGGGAATGTCAGGGCTGCCTGGAGATAAATCCCTGTCCTCTACTTCCTGTTGCCATAAAACAGAACTGGGCATTCCCATCTTGCCCGATCCTACAGCGCCACCTTGTGAAGGGCTCTTGAAACAGTTTCCCCTTTGCTGTAGAAAGTCAGGGTCCCCGGACTAAGAGCTCCCAATGTGTGCATCACTTCCAGTTGCCGCTGGCCTGGCACGCCTCCACCTCCCCACCTCCGGGGAGGTTGCTGAGGCTGCAGGAACCCACCTCCACCCTGGAGTTCCAGTACTTGAAGGAGATGCCCATGGTTGAGGAGATGCCCATGGTTGTGGTCTGAGGAGAGGCAGTTCTGCAGAGTTGATAGGTCTTACAGAGATGGGCGGGGGTTTCTGTAGCTGAAGTACCTTCAGGAGACTTGGGATGATGCTAGATTGTACTGGTTGGTGTCTGTGGCAGGACTTCTGGGAGTCCATGAGAGGCTGAGCATACAAGGGAAGTATCTGAATTACCTTGTACTGAAGTTTGGGCCCTGTCGCATTTGGCTCTTTCCAAGGGGTAAATTAATAATTTAGTAACCCTGTTTTCACTTTCTATAGTAAAGAATGAGTTTGCTGGTTTATGGAGCCTGTGGCTCACATAAGAGAAAGGACAGTGGTGGGCTCCTGCTTCTCAGTCTCACTGATGTGCCCCAGCAAGATCACAAAGCTAGGCCTGAAACAACACCTGGGCATGGTCAGGCCTGCCTTAACCTCTGGTGATTGTCTACCCTAGAGCATGTGGGGAACTTGGCTTGAGAAGAGAGGCAGCCAGTCTAGGCTTTTCATCCCCTTGCAAGAGAAGCTGTTTAAGTATAAAAAGGAGAAATCCTGGCGGCTTGCATATCCTCTGTACACCTATGCTAACCGTAGCTCAGGCAGCTAAGGGACAGAAGAACAAATGGTTTAAAACTGAGGGGATGGGGGGCAGTCCTGGTAACATGCTGTTCCCACAAGTTTATGGGGCCCGTGGCCGGAAGCAAGGTCATGTCTCTGGCACAATCAAAGCAGTGAGCCTGACTCATGAATGCTGGAGAACCAGGCATTCAGACAGTCCTTAGCTCTGTCTTTATTCAACACTGGCCAGTGGCTAACATAACAAACTTAAGGCGTTGTTTCAGTTGGTGCCTTGACAAACTCTGTGCGCCTCTGTGAACTGTGTTTTGGCACAGGTCACACTGCAGACAGGATCTGATGTCAGGATATGATGTCATCGCCATCCATGCCTAGTCCATTGGTGTCAGGACAGTTGTCCTGAGCACTTAATATGTTCTGTCTGACGCTGGCCCTGAAGAGTCACACTGTTGACACCTGCTGCCACCAAGTGAGCTCCAAATTATTAGTGCCTCCATATGAGGGCCATCTGGGGTAACACCTCTGTTGCTCCCAGTGTACAGATCAAGAATCAGCTAAAGGGTTCTTGACTTAGGGTCATCCCCTTAGCCACTGTGTCTTCTTGCCTCTGGGCATAAGATAGGGCTGGACTCCCAGGGTGACATTCCCCCATCAGACTCTCAGCATGGTACTTGCTCCCTTCTCTGATCTCCAGACAGTGCTCTGAGCACTCACCTGAGCTCTCCTGATGCTTGCCTCTCTGCCCCTTGTCCCACCAGGAAGCTGATCAGCATCTCCTTCGGGGATCTGAACCCCTTCCCCCTGCGCCAGATTCGGAACCGGCGAGCCTACCACTTAGAGAAGGTCCGGCTGGAGCTGACAGAGCTGGAGGCCATCCGAGAGGATTTCCTGCGTGAGCGGGACACTAGCCCTGACAAAGGCGAGCTGGTTAGCGATGAGGAGGAAGACACTTGAATGAACCCCCACCCTAGGATGCTGCTCTTCATGCCTTTACAACCAAAAGTAGCAAAGAGGACTCCAGGCATGCCTCTGCTCATTCAGCTGCCAGAATGTAACAACTGTGGCCTCTGGGTATCTGCTGGGCAGATGACCCAAACTAAGCTGCACTTTCCCATCTCCCATTTGGGGGCTGGCTGCAGGTTAGGGGGACTGGTGGCTTTAGAGCCATTTCCATGTCAAGGCATTCAGTCACATGCATCACAGTCATGCTGCCTGATTGGTGCCTCGCCAGTTGACTGTTTCCAAGGGCCTGTTTACAGCGTCTGCCCATTGTGTGAGTGTTTGACCCTGCAAATCTACTATACTCCACGTCTCCCCATGCTTTTTCTATTCAAGGACAGCACTATGGAGGAATGCATACAGGGCTTCAGCATGGCTACTTCCACGGGCAAAAAAAAAAAAAAAAAAAAAAAAAAAAAAAAAAAAAAAAAAAAGGTAAACATGATAAATGGGACCTCTTTAAAAAAAAAAAAAAAAAAAAGCAAGAGCAATTCTTATTCAGAACCAGCCTGGGAGCCCTGGTGGCTTCACTGCCCGAAACAGCCCATTCTAGACACAGCCTTTCAGATTGTAGCACACCCCCCCCCCTTCAGCCAGCCCCCATACTTCTCATTGCCAGCTGTTTTGCCAATTGCTCTGTCCCAACTTGGGTGTATGGGAGGTCGGTGTGCACCTCCAAAAGCCGCTGTGGATAGCTCTTCTAGCTGGGAGGTGACTTGGAGATGCCACTCTCCAAGTGTGACTGGATTGTGGTTCCTTGCAGTAGGCCCACCCCTACATGAAGTAACATGGGAAACTTTCAGATGTGGCAGGGCTGTGGCTTGTGGGCTCCTGGATGGCAGTGGCCAGGGCTCTGATATCTCATGCCCAGTGGCTGGGTGGGGAGTGAGGCTGACTGCCAGCTTCCTAGGTCTATGAACACCTTTGCTTGAGGCCGAGAGTGATGAGCTCTCCCCATCTCTTTTGCCTGGTTCCTTCTTGTTCTCGGTAGGGAGCTAGGGTCACTGTGGACTCTGGGGACTTGGAACACTTCCTTCTTGAAGCCCGGAGAGGGTTTGAACAAGGGAGGTTATTTTTGCTCAATCCTAAGCGTCCCTGATGGGTGGTTGTCATGAGAAAACATTGTCTAACAGTATTATCAGAACACAAGGGAAGCAGCCTTAAATGGACTATCTTACACTACCTGGAAAAAAATCGGAAACAATCCTTAGCTAGTGTAAACACAGTCAGACTAAGAATTGGAGCAAGGCAGTTGTGAGAGATCTTTTTCCATGACCGGTCTTCCTGTTTTTGCTGTCCACTTTCTAGCACTTGAATGGCTGAGTTGGTTTTTCAGCATCTAGACTGTGCTCAACTTCTCTGAAAGTTGCTTCACTTATTACCATGTAAAAGGAGCTGGTCTCTATATTTAGCCTTTGTCTCATTTCAGGTATGGAAAATGTCATCATTGTGTCTTTAGGATGGTGGTTTGAGGCCCAGCTTCTTCAAGGCCCACGGTCTGAACTGGACCGTGGTCTCACTGCTGTTCTCGGGGCCTCCCTGATACCAAATGCTAGAAGAATTCCCACCCCCTGTGAAATGATGGCTGTCAGCCTTGGGGACAGCTGCTAAGGAGGTGCAGCAGGATGGGGTTGGAGCCCCATGGCTCAGCTCCAGTTGCCCCGGTTTCAGTTGCCATGTCACTTTCCCACTGGAAGATGCCAATCAATCCAAATATATGTATTTGGCATAAATGCTCTTTTAGCAGTGGGCTGCTTTTGTCCTGTGTGCCCAGGAGAGGCATCTTAAAAGTACCTGGCTCAGTGGTAGAATGTGTGCCTGGCATGTGTGAGGCCCTGAGTTCCATCCCAGTACTGGAAAAAAAAAAAAAAAAAAAAGAGGCAGCATTCATTTCCCAGTCAGGTGAAGTCTTTAGAGGTCTCAGAGGAAATGCACACCAGGCTCTCCTCCCTAGAATAAAGGGTCTGCAGAGCTGAGAAGGCATGGCTGCCCTCCTTCCAGTGTGGGGACAGAATGACACAGGCTCCTCCCAGTGGCAGAACTCGAGTGATTTGAGCCATCACCTTCCATTCCCTCATCACTGAGACCTGTCTTTGCCCTCCCATGCCCCTGAGGTTCCAGACTTAAGACCGGCCACCGTGGCAGGTACCGCTAACGTCAGGGACTGCCTCATGCTGCTGTTCATTTGAACGTTTACCCAGCATGCAACCCGTGAGCCTTGTGGGCTGAGACACCCAAAGCATAGCCTCCAGTGTGTGGGTCCAAATGCACCCAGCCCGCAGTGTCCCATCTGGTGGAACTTAACCAATATTTCAATTGTTAATACCTTTATATTTTCACTACATTTTATATTTTTATAGACTATTTTATTAAGGTTTTTCTAGAATCTGTACAACTTTTATATAACAAGTTCTATTTTGTGTGCACAGCTCCCTTGTATGTATTTATATCAACCTGAGCCTCCCAAGTTACAGTTCCCTCCTGCTCCACCTTCACCCCTTAGCCTTGACCATCACTCACTCCTGCTCACCCAGGGAGCCTCTAGTGCTACTTCTAGCCATGCTGACAACTGAACAGTAGCTCGGTTGCTGTTTACTTCTCTGATGTTAGCCATGTTATGTTGATACAGGAAGTGCTCCAGGCAGGACCCAGCTAGATTTGGTTATCTGTGTCACTGCACGCGCCCCTCTCACTCTGCACAGTGCCGTCTTCCTAATCCACCCCCTCTGGGTGGGTCTGTTCAGGGAAGTCCTTGAAGATAGAGGCTGGATGCTAGCCCAGTGTATGAGGTTCTTCTCCTGTGGGCAACTGGAGGACATGAGGGCACACTACCAAGTGACTGTCCTTTTGTATCACAACAGCTTTTGTGCTGATCTTTGAGTTAAATGTTAGACTCATAAAGGGAGAAATAAACTAATTTGTATTACATTCTGCCTTGAAAGATAGTTGTCATTTGTGATGGAAGCTTCTGCATGGTCTTGGAGCAAGAGGGTGTGCATTATGGTGGCCTCTCCAATCTGCCAGCCTATTGATTCTTATGTCCCTGCCCTTGGTTCCACTGGGAGAGGAGAGACAGAATGCCCTTCTCAGCACTGGTAGACCTGAGTGTCATGGCCGAACTATGGGCAAGGGCTGAGGGCAGAGGCCACAAGTGAGATACTGCCTGTGTCTGGAGCAGTCCCTACCCCTACCCCCCACCCCTTGGGAGACAGGTACCCTCTTGCACCAGCTATGTATGCCCAGCCTGAGTCATGGTTTGTTTGCCTCCTGTCTGGGCAGACAGCTCAGGCCCAGCTGCCACTAGTGACTCCCCCAGCCATCTCTGGAAAAACACAAGAATGATTAGGACCAAATGTCTTTCCATGAGGAAGGGGGGAGGGAGGGGCAAGGCTCAACCCAGTAAACTGTTGCTCTTGGGGAGACATGGATTTATTCAGCAAGGCTGGGGGCAATGGGGGCTCCTGGGGTCCCACAGCACTGTAGTAATAGCAGAGGCCAAAGCTGGGTCAGGGACCCTATGTCTCTGCCACAGTGCCAACCCCTGATGTGTATGGATCTAGAACAAGGAAACGGCTCTGTTCCCATCTTTGTGGGGAGTTGCCATGGGGAGTAGATTGGGCAAAGTTGTAGGAGGCCATTACTCAGAGTGTGGGTCCCCAGGGCCTCTTTGGGCCCACAGGGCTGCCTCAGACATAGGCAGGAAGCAAACCCAATGTTTCTCCACCCTCTGCATGGTAGCGCTTAGATGCACACAAGCCACCAGTGACTTGCTTTCCTGAGTAACCTTGCCTGTATTTGGCCAAGCCACATACAGACCTGCCTGAATCCTGGAATAGGAGGTAGGGGCTCAGGACCTATGCTGGACCCGTACCTCCTAGTCACGTCTCTCCACTGTGAATTTCTCACCTGCTCATGTTCAGGATAAGTTGGGAGTGTAGGGAACCCAGAGCTAGACAGAAACTTTTGCTCCTGAGAGCAACAGCCCCTGCTCCTCTCCACTCTTAGGTAGAACAAGTCCTGGAGCTGGCACAGCACTGGCTGGTGATCCCTCTTCCCAGCCTTAGGGAGTGGCTTCCAGTGTATCCACATTCTCAGTGATCAGACGCCTTCACGATTCCACATACACCTCACTCTGGACGAGTGCCCACTCAGAGAACCTCAGTGCCTCAGACTCGGAGGAGGGGCATAATGCCTTCCAGAAGAAGTCAGAGGACGACTCACAGCCAGAAGGAAGAGTCAGATAGGGCCCAAGCCTGAGAGGAAGGCCTAGTTCTCCCTGGCACTGACCAGGGTCCAGAAACCTCTTCAAAAATACCCACATGCCCAGCTGCTTTCGAGTGGCAGATCTGCCATGTGCCTAAGTGGGAGACAAGACAGCCTCAGCTGCATGAGGGCACCTGGCTCCATCCCTGGGAAACCCAGGGCTTTGAGGACCTTAAAGGAAAACATCAGGCAGGGGTGCAGAATGAGTGGAGACAGTGAAGAGGACTCCCTGTGCCTCTGCCAACCCGTACCCCCTGCAAAGAAGACCTCCGTGCTCGCCCTACGTAACCCTCTGTAGATGCCTTCCTAGGAGCTATCTCCACCCACTTCAGGGACTGCCATGTCCATGTCAGGTATCTTCGCATGGCCTCTGTGCTGGCCATGCTGGTCTGCCCCCATAGGAACAGAGAAGCTGCTGTGTGCTGAGGCTTCAACAAGGGACAGGGTAGTAGCCAAATAGATAAGAGAGGAAGGTAGATAGGGGGGTCACGTTGGAGAGTCTCCAAATCCAAGACAAGGCCAAACTGCTTTGAAAGGGTAGATACTCATTTATGTAAAACAATAACAAATGTGCAAACTGTTAGAATAAAAAAATACCTTTTCTGAGAGGAAGGGGGGTCCCCAGCCTGCCATTGCACAGGGATGGGGTTAGCACCATTAGGGTACGAGGAGCAGGGCTCCACCGCAGCCTGTGGTGGGGCGCTGAGGTCTGTGTGTCATGGGTCAGTTTGTCTGTGCATTCCGATGTGCACTGGTAGAGGCCAGGCCTCTGTTCAGCGTCTCGCCACCCGCTTATAGCCTCGGGAAGGGACACCGAGGCTGAGTGGGGGACATGAGCGACAGCACTGAGCACGAATAGTGGGTAGCTGGCAGCGGCCCAGTAGACGCAGTGTCTCGCAGAAGCTGAAGGACAGGCGATCCCGCTCACAGCCTGGGAATGGGAAGAGATGAGAAGGGGTACGGTGGAATGGTTAGAATCAATGAACACGGCACGCAGAAGCACACATCATCACCTAGTAATTGGACTGAAAGACCCTTCATCTCGGTAGC